GGTCCGAGAAAATCAAACTAAGATCAACAAAGCGACTCACACAAGAAAAGCAACACAGTTCGGGGTCGTTTCGGCAGAGTTATGTGGACTAAAGGGGTCAGTCGAGAAAACTATTTGTTTTGAACAATGTATCGCCTTCAATTTTCATTGCGATTAATCCACCGTACAACTGGCTTGTTGAGAAGAACGGGCATTTGCTGAAAGGTTTCGCGCCTTCATTTCGACGTTTAACAAGCAACACATCATAAACCACAGACTGGCAACATTGTATGAGTTTCAGCGCTCTCTGTCGGCTTCTGGCCGCAACCCCTCTTGGGTCACAGTGCCACAATCGATTCGATATATCGCAGGGGAGTCTTGTGGAGGTAATGCCGTTGGAGGTAATGCAGTATTGCCGGCAGGACATTACCTACAACGGCATTACCTCCAAAAATCCAACATGGTCGAGCGAGCGATCGAAACTTTGGCAATGTGCCCAAATCGATCGGTCGAGGTTTCGAGATGTAAGGCTGTCTCGAATTTTACGATGTTGCTAAACCAAAAAGTAAGCATGAGATTTCTTTATAGGTGTTTCTCACTTTCTACCACTGTCGATGGTCTGTGTCTGTGAGATTGTGCGAGTTGTGAGATAATCTGATAATCGCTCTCGAAACATGAGCATGAGCGTGAATTAAGAGTTAGAGGTTAGAATCCATTAAGTGAAATTGGTAGAAATGTATGTATTAAAAGGCATTGAATCACAGGATCAATTAGTTTCTCGTAGACTTTTCCCCTAATACTCGTGGATCGGGAGACTTGTAATTTAAGGAGTATGGGTGATGTGATTAGATTCGTGAAAAAGTGTAACCGCATTGCTTGCTTTTAACTAGCGCTTATGGTTTTGATGCAATGATTGTCATCAGTTAGTTTCCTCTACTACACGACCGCACCCTTATGAAGGCAGATGATGAATAAAAGTGGTTACTTCAGTTGTCACTCTTTCTCTAAATTTTATGTTTTGGCGTCTCCGCTCCGAAATCACAAGGCTGCCGTGTTCCCTAGCTATGCAGATCGCTTGTTAAGTCTGCCCCCTGTGGAAAGTCTAATCATACCTAAGTTCTCTCCGGTTGCAATTTCTCTACTTCAATGTACGCAAAATATTTTGCAGCTGAAGAACACAGAATCTCTCTTGCGGCTATGAAACAATCCAGTTTTCTCTCTGAGCTAATAGATTTCATGATGTGCTTGACTTGACTGTAGCTTGATCAGTTACCTAGTTCATCCAGGATGTCACCATGCTCTTCCACAACTCTTGTTGTTTAAACAATTAATGGGCTTTATTAATTAATGTTCGACAATGTTGTGGAAAAGCACGTCGATAGCGTCCGTCCAAGCATCGAAGGAGAAGTACATTTGTATGAAGGTTTGTCTAGAGTCCCTTTATACCCAGAGTAACGACAACTCGATTATCAGCTGACTGGCAGCCGACCTTGGCTGGCCATGGAGGCCGAAACTAGTGCACTCAAACGAACGATATTGGGGGATAAGGATCAGGAATCCTGCGATGTCTGTCACACAGAAACAACAACATCAACAAATTGATCAATTAAAAAGAAAATGAGATTGGTTTGTGAATAATTTCTTAATCTATTTTCATTTTGGACCGATGGCAATAATAATTTACTCTTGATAAACCACAATTAGGTAATATTTTCATTATTATTGTTCACATACGAGATACCGCCATCTTGGTGCACTAGTTTCGGCCTCCATGAGCGAGAACCAATCAGAATTGGATTTTTTTTTAGGCCACTTTCAGCCCAATCCTGGCCCAACCAAAAGTGAGTTGTCGTAACTCTGGGTATAAAGGGACTCTAGGTTTGTCAAGTCTGGCTTAAAGTAAGTCATGTACCAGCCTTCCACCTATCAGCACATCTTAGAGCGCCAGTTTTCTGACAAATAGACCAATTCTGCATTGTCAGACAATGATCTACCTTTTTTAGAATCCTTTCAGATGTTCCAGTAAACTGTAAACATCAAGTAAACTAGTAAACATAACCTCACTTTCTTCCTGACTTTTACACAGAGATAGAAGAGATAGCAGCATAGAGTAAGAGTAGTTAGAGGTAACCCTAGTAGCAGAGTTATATAAAAAATTTGTTTTTAAAAGTATAAACCTTAAATAACCACAAGCTAAAGAAAATTCATTGTTTATGTAATGGATATAAAGTTTTTTAGTTAAAAGTTTACATTATCAATAAGCTTCTTATGTAACCCTTAGTATAAAAGTTATATAACCAAATTCAAACAGTGTATAAAATGAATTTTTCCTTTTTTTTCCTGGCTGGTAGCGCAATCTAGTTATGAAGTGTGCAAGTTTTCATATGCGTTATTACCAGGTGGTGGATCATCGTAGAGTTGTGACTTACCTTAAATCCGCGCCGTCCTAGTCGGGATTAGAACCCACGCCTCGGAATGGTGTTGCAATCCGTAGTCCAGTACTTTACCACCAGACCAGCCAGGCTTGATGTAGGTGGGCCCCTAAATTCAATCTCTTAACTATCGCAGGCCTCTGAGTCCGTAATATGTTTGTTTATTGACGGATTCTTATGATATTTTACCAGACTTTATTATTTATTATTTGTTTATTTATTGTTTTTTATTTCATGTTGTAATTTTTTCATTTTCATTTTTTTAAACTCTCTCTCATTTTTTTTAGCTCTCTCTCTTTTTTTTAACTATCATGTTTTTTAACTATCATGTTTTTTAACTATCATGTTTTTTAAGTATCATTTTTTTTAACTCTCTCTATTTTTTTAACTCTCATTTTTTTAACTCTCTCTCTCTCCCTCTCCCCCTCTCTCTCTTTTTTAAACGATATTAATGTTTTTTTATAATTGCGTCTTTTTCCAGTTTTAATTATTTGGGCCTTTTTCTAGTTTGAATTTATGTCGATGTATTTATGTTATTTATTTATTATTATTATCATTTCCTTTTTTTATTTTAAATTTTTATAATATTAATTTAAAAATTTTAAAAAAAAATTAAAATTTTTAAAATAATATTTAATAATATTTTTAAAATATTTACAAAAATAATTATGATATACCTTAAAAATATTATAAAATATTATTTTAAAAATTTTTAATTTTTTATATTTTTAATATATTTTTAACAGGGCTCCTCGGATTGTGTGCCGAATTATCCCCTTTTAACTCGTCTCGGAGCCACTAATATTTCTAATAATACCTATCCCACGCAGTCTGAGAGTCGAGGGTGTTCATTGAAATGGGATCATCATCATCATTCATGAAAATGAGATAGGTTTACTTTAAGGTCATTCAGGTCATTTATATAACAGTTATATTAAGCAAATTAAGCAAAAGGATAATATGCGTATAAAGAAAATGTATAAAAACCCTTCCTCAATTATATAAATTTTATATAAACGTTATCTTCTGAAAATATGAATAATTATTTTCATGGGCATTTTATATAAAACTTATATACACGATATATAAACTTTAGTTAAAATGGTGCTTATATAACCGTTATTAATTCCTTATACGTTTGTTAGGAAAGGGAAAGTGAATCTTGCTACTAGGGAAACTCTCCCGTATAGAACCCCTAAGAACTATACCATCATTGCAGCCTGATTAGAGGTTTTTTTGAAAGTTGATTTCTTACATACGGAAAAAAATCAGCGATTCTCGTTTGGGGGGAAAAAAAATAGGAATAGTTCGTTAATAAATTAGGTATCGCTCGGCATATATAAGAGCTCCGCCGAGTGACGGAAAATTTCAAGGGGGATATTGTGGCAATTTCACGTAAAACTTATGGAACTTATGCGAATGAATGAGGCTGCTTATGAACCAACAAAAAAAAATGAAAATTCAATTTTGAATTTTTTATGAGATAAACTTCGTTGGAAAAAAAACATTGTTAGTTGAACTTGCAAATCGTCGGCGTGATTTGTTACAGGCTGCGGAACCAACCCGTAAAAAGTACCTAAGTTTCAATGCATGGGAATATCCACCGAAAAAATTAAATTGCTCATTTAACAGTTTTGTACTTACAAACTGTCCGACTTGTTCCAAATGAGGAGCTTGGAGGACAAGGCGCATAAATGCAGGTGGTCTGTGGCAAATTCGTTCCAAATTTCCAATTTTAAAGCATCAAAGAGTCAGTTTGAGCTTTCTCTCCGCCATGGATCCATGTAATTTCGAAACTTTAAACACGCATTTCTCGGAATAGCAAAAACTGCACTTATGTGCCCCTCAAATGTCAAAGGGAAAGCTAATTGAGCTACGGGGGTGGTTGCATTAGCATTTTTTAATGGTAAAATCTACAATGAAACACCGTCGAACACTTCTTTTAACCACAAAATTTTTGAATCAGCAATTTCATTTTCTTCCGTGCATTGCAAATTTGATACTTCATGTGAATTTTTAAGACGAACGCCGCTCGTTCGCCTCCAAAAAGGTGAGTGTGGGTGGGTGCTCAGGGGAGCTATAAAATACCTAATTTTGAAATTCAGATTTTTTTTCACTCTTTCTCACCTTCATAACCCACCTGTGACATACGTCTGCACTACTCAAAAAAGAAGAAGAAAGAAAACGTAACGTTTTGTATGATCCCCTTCCTCGAATTAGTATTCTGTAAGTACTGAATTTTGAATGAAATTTCGTAATAGTCGGCCTCCTAAGCTGCCGTGCTAAGGAAAAACGCCGTATGAACATTCAAGGGTTGCCAAATTTCCTTCGATACAATGTTAATTTTTGAGGAAATTCATGAATATTTTCCCTTGAAATTTTCAGGACTTTTCGGTGGAATT